GCCAGAGTACAGGAAGACGGTGGTTGTTATAACGAATTGGGGGAGGATACGTATTATGGGAGGGAGGGAGGAGGGAGTCCGGGGAAGGGGAAGGGAGGGAGGGAGGGAGGAGGTCAGGGGAAGGGAAGGAGGGAGGAGGGAGGGAGGAGGGAGTCAGGGAAGGGAAGGAGGAGGAGGGAGGGAGGATGATCATAGAGGAAGGAGGGAAGGGAGAGGCAAATGGAAGAGGTGTGAGGGAGCCGTGGAAGGGAAGGGATCGAGGGAGGGACAGTGGAAGAAGAGGTGGAAAGGAAGGAGAAGGGATTTGTCGGCACGAGTTGACGAAGTTACAGTGAGACAGATAGAGACAGATGAGGTGTATTGCAGGGACGAGACGGAATTTTAGACAGATGGTGAGAGGAAGACAGGGGGGTCTGTTTATAGCCTTCCTGTTGCCTTTTCTGTCTAATGAAGTTACAGAGAGAGAGAGAGAGAGAGAGGAGAGAGAGAGAGGGGGGACAGACAGACAGACAGACAAACGCTCCAGAAACACAAAACTGAGACCGACAGACATAAATACCGAGAGACCATCCTATATACCCCCTCCCAATTATCTTATATCAAGCGAGGATTAACACACAGACAACCAAGTTAATTCCAACCTATTATTAACCTCCCGCTTACTCCCTTAAATAACCCTGAACGAGTACACTGCTACTTCCAGATCCTGTTACGGTAATGTCGGGAATGTGACCTGCAGAGACATGGATAAGGTTTGGTTTGGTTAGGTTAGGTTGCACACACACACACACACACACACACACACACAATTGAACAAACATGGTGTATGAACCTCGGCCTTAAATAAGGTATTGTGTTATACATTCATACAACACAACGTGGACAAAGCTACAAGCGAATTGGCCTTGTAGATTTCCTTGTATGCTCTCTCTCTCTCTCTCTCTCTCTCCTCTCTCTCTCTCTCTCTCTCTTCCCATCTATTTTAACTCCCATCGTCCTTTGTTATATCTCTCTTGCACTCCTGTTTCTCATCAACTTTTACGACCTCCCTCTCTCTCTCTCTCTCTCTCTCCCTCTCTCTCATCTCTCTCTCTCTCTCTCTCCTCTCTCTCTTCTCTCCCTCTCCTCTTTCTCTCTCTCTCTTTCTCTCTCCCCTCTCTCTTTCTCTCTCTCTCTCTTTCTCTTTCTCTCTCTCTCTCTCTCTCTATCTCTTTCCTCGGTCTGTCCTTCTCTCTATCTCTATCTCACTCACCCTCACTCACCACCACAGTCACGCCCACGCCCACCATCAACACACACACGCCCACGCCCCCCATCAACACACACGGCAGTACAGTGAAGGGAAAAATGCATTTCTCTCCACAATTTCATCATTTGAGTCCCAAGGGTTCCTTCACTCCCAGCCGGTGAGGAGAGCCAAGGACACACCACCTCTGGTTGACCTACATGACGACTCGATAAAGAGAGAAGAGAGAAGAGAGAAGGAGAGAGAGAGAGAGAGAGAGGAGGTTGCAGTTTCCTGTGTTGGGTTAAGTGGAGTTGAGTTAACAGGGTTTCTGACAGGTGTTTTTGAGTGTGTGTGTGTGTGTGTGTGTGTGTGTGTGTGTGTGTGTGTGTGTGTGTGTGTGTGTGCTTTTATATATCTATACATTTATTAAATTTAAACAAAGCACTTTTAAAATACACACAAGCATGCACTCATATTTACATACAGACACACACACACACACACACACACACACACACACACACACACACACACCTACCTCTTGTCAACCCTTTTCAGTTATGGAAAAACAAAAACAGAAATCCAACATAAGAGTCCACAGGTAAAGTAATTCCCCACACTACACTCTGTACGGATACATAATACACGGACCGCTGGAACATACAATACAACCCGGATTAAAAAAAAACACCTTAATTACCAAGATGGCGGGGGTCTTTAGGTGAGACTCTTCATTGCCTGTTATAGCGGTGTTTGGGACTGTGTAATGAGGGGGAAATATTGGAACGAGAGCTGTTAGTGGCCTCTTGGAAGTTTGTGTATGTGGGGAGTGTGGGTTATGATTTTAAGGAAGTAATATTGGATCGTGTGAGAATATTACTCGCTGAAGTTAAGGAAATAGTTGTAATAATGATTAATGTTGTAGTAAATGTCTAAAAATAATATTACAGGTAATAATAAAAGAAATGAATAAATTAATTACAAAATCAAATTAAAAAATAATATTCTGGTTTAGAAAATATAAAACCTTCGCAAAAAAGAATATTTTGAAATAAAATTAACATTACGTAGTAGAAAAATATTACTTTCAGATATAAAACTCATCAAAAATATAAAAATTAATAATATTGTATGAAAAAATATAACAACACGGAAATATACAATACTTACAGACAAATAATAAAAAATATATAAGGAAAATTAATAACGATAACTTTTAATAGTTTCTGAGGTGAATTAAGGAGTAATGATAGTTAAGTAAACAACAAAACTATTTCTGACTTTGTACTTTATGTAAGAACTAAAGTGGGGGTTTAAACTGTAATTAGTAGAATTTGTTTATTAGTGTGTGTGTGTGTGTGTGTGTGTGTGTGTGTGTGTGTGTGTGTGTGTGTGTGTGTGTGTGTACTGGTATATTTCATGTCCCTAGAGCTCAACCCGGATTTACGTGTGCTAAAACTGCGGGTTACGAGTTACGCTATGTTGAGGTAAGGTTAGTTTATGGTGTGTGTTAGGTTTGGTTAGGTTAGGTTAAAGTCTAAGCCATCAGCCTTAAAACTGCCGGACTTGACATAACAAGATCATATTACCCTCTGTAGCTGTCCTTTGAGGTACCAGGTAAACGCTCTCTCAGGTCACCAGGTAAACGCTCTCTCAGGTCACCAGGTAAACATTTTCTCAGGTCACCAGGTAAGACGGAACTACAGCATACAAACAGGCATTAAAAAATCTGGTCTTAAACCTTCTTTCACTATCGGAGAATATTTCCCAGGAGTAACTCTTCACCCTGTAATTCCTTTACAAGTCTCCAGTTGAAAGCCAGCAACAGAGAATCCAATCCCTCAGAGCTTCATGTGAATTATTTAAAGCTAAATTTTAATCCTTCGAAGCTTATGCATAATACCTTAAGGCTTATTTGTTCCCATAGAGCTTAATTTAAATCCTTTTCTAACTTAACCTGAACTAACGTGAACCTAACCTAACCTAACCTAAACTAAACTAACGTGAACTTAGACTAACTTGAACCCAAACTAACGTAAATTTAACTTAACCTAACGTAACCTAACCTAACCTAACCTCACTTTACATAAAATGACCAAATTTTACTCGGAGAAACATTTAACATCTGCGGAGGTGAAGTCGAATCATGCCTTAGCTAATTGCGTATGAACAAGCGGCCGTATAACTGTTACAGGACAACCGTGGAGCCTAATTACTGCTGAAACGGAGCAATACCACTGTGCAAATGGGGGTGGAGGAGGAGGGAAGGGAAAGGGGATGGGGGTGTGGGAGGGAAGGGAGAGGAGGGAGGGAAGGGAGGAAAGGGGAGGGAAAGGGAGGGAAGGAGACACTACAGAATATCATATACGATGAGTACAACAAATTAGAAAAGACAGACAGACAGACAGACAGACAGATAGTGGCTGTAAATAAATAAATACTTAAATAATAAATAAAACCTTTCCGTCCCTTCCTCTGACTCGAGATAATGATCCCCGGTGAACCAGAAGAAGATAAACAACTGACAACAACAACACCTGACCGTCGACGTTCAAGGGGGAGGAGGTGGGGAGGAAGGGGGGGGGGAGGAGGTGGGGAGGAAGGGGGATGGGGGGAGGAGGTGGGGAGGAAGGGGGTGGGGGGAGGGAGGAGGTGGGGAGGAAGGGGGGTGGGGAGGAGGTGGGAGGAAGGGGTGGGGAGGAGGTGGGGGAGGAAGGGGTGGGGGGAGGGGAGGTGGGGAGGAAGGGGGTGGGGGAGGAGGTGGGGGAGGAAGGGGGGTGGGGGAGGGTGGGGGAGGAAGGGGGTGGGGAGGAGGTGGGAGGGTGGGGAGGTGGGAGGGGGCAGGGAGGAGGTGGGGAGGAAGGGGGGTGGGGGGAGGAGGTGGGGAGGAAGGGGGGTGTGGGGGAGGTGGGGAGGAGGGTGGGGAGGAACAGGAGGAAGGGGGGTGGGGGAGGGAGGAGGTGGGGAGGAGGAAGGGGGGGTGGGGGAGGAGGTGCTGGGGAGGAAGGGGTGTGGGGGAGGGAGGTGGGGAGGAAGGGGGGTGGGGGAGGAGGTGGGGAGGAGGGGTGGGGGTGGGAGGAGGTGGGGAGGAAGGGGTGGGGGGAGGTGGGGAGGAAGGGGGTGGGGAGGAGGTGGGAGGGAAGGGGTGTGGGGGGAGGAGGTGGGGAGAAGGGGGGTTGAGGGAGGAGGAGGTGGGGAGGAAGAGGTGTGGGGGGAGGAGGTGGGGAGGAAGGGGGGTGGGGGGAGGAGGTGATGGAGAAGGAAGAATTCAAGAAGGTGAGAAGGAAGAGGAGTAGTTCAAGAAGATTCGAAAGAGAAAGAGAAGGAGGCGTTAGAGGAGATGAGAAATAGAAGAAGAAGGAGGAGGAGAGAAGGAGGAAGACGAAGAAAGGAGGAGAAAAAGAAAGGGGTGGAGAAAGGGTTAATATATTGTCTCAGGTCTCCCAAAGTTATAATGAAGCCCCAAGTTTTGCATCAAAAGTAGTGGCTTCTTACTGCTCATCATCCGGGGTAACACGATAACAAAGGGGAGAGGTGGGAGGGGGGGGAGAGGGAAGGGGAGAGAGGCAGGGAGAGGGGATGGAAGAGAGGTGAGGTAAATAATATGATACGGGGAGGTGTAACTATCCTAAAAGTTGATGGAAGAGGAGGAGGAAGAGGTTTGGCTGCTTAAAGTTATCAGAGGTTAATGATGGATGACATTGGGTTTCACTCTCTCTCTCTCGAGTAGTACCTTAAGCCAGTCCTCAACCCCAACATCTCTTACTTCCAGACGATCGACGGAAGGAGGACCAGGAGGCGGCGACAGAAGAGTGTGGCCATGTCCTGAGGAAGACCCACACCTTACATCCTACCACGAGGAGTCTCCAAGATCCTAAACGGGAAAGAAAGAAAAATCCTTCAACACAGGATTTCATTTTTGGAAGAAGAAATTTCATATCTACTATTTCTCTTCAGAAAACTCATGTCTAGGATGTCAATAGTTTCCTTTAATCTAGTGTAGGATGTGCTTTGAATTTCTCAGCTGTAGGATATCACCTAAAAATCCTTCCTAATGATGACTATAATCTGACTGAAGAAATAATACGCCTGACTCACAAGCCTGACTCACAAATGTATATATTAAATAACAACTTTACATTCAGGCAAAAAAAAAACAGTAAAAAAAATAATGAAAGTATATTAAAAAGTTAATTCATGAGAGTAAATGAGAAAATATATTCAAGAAAGCAAATTATACAAAGTTTAATCGTGAATCAGAGACAAAAATTATAATCTAAAAACTGTGCCAAGGAAGAGACGTAATAAAATAGGAAAAATATTTGAAAGAATCATCCCACGTATAAATAATCAAACACAAACAAACACAAACATAGAACACGGGAAGTCTATATATTGCCCTAAGGAAATAAAACACCGTACATGAATAAAATAGGAGACGGACTGGACAGAGGAGAGAAAGAGGGTCAATATACAGTTATGCTAATCTAAAAATCCACCCAAAATAACAACAAAGTCATAAAATCCACTACAAGAAGAGATTACAGCTATAAATGTCTAATTGTCAAGATAAAACACCAAAGTGGGGCTACTTAACTAAATACCTTTGACAGAAAACGTAAATATTGTAGAATCATAGAAAACGTACCTAACCTATCATCAAAGAAAACGTATATATCACCAGTAACTACACTAGGAAGTAACACATGATGAATACAGAACATAAATCCCCTAATGATATAGATAATTACCCTATATATATCGTCAAGGTGAATAATTAGCCCAAGTTTCCTCAATATATCAAGAATGTGACCCAAGATTAAGTTCCGTTGCTGTTAAAAAAATGGAGTCGTGATTTATGGCTCTTTTGTAAGTCTTGGCAAGTGTGGTCGGGTGGAGTAGTCGGGGGAGGTGGAAAAGAGGTCGGGTGGAGTAGTCGGGGGAGGTGGAAAAGAGGTCGGGTGGAGCAGTCGGGGGAGGTGGAAAAGAGGTCGGGTGGAGAAATGGTGGTCGGGTGGAGATAGTCGGGTGAAGAATTCGGGTGGAGAAAGAATAACTGGGATGGAGAAATAAGTCGGATGGAGAAGGAGACAGAAAGAGAAATAACTAGACACAGAAAAACGGACAGATAAGACATGATGAACGAAAACAAAAGTAGACGGACAAACAGACTTAAGGTGAAAGGAACGTAGAGACAGACAGAGATGACAAATTAGGCCAAAGAATGGAGAGATAGTGAAATATAATTGATAAATACATGGAAATAAATAACGATTAGATAATAAATAATGATGAAAAAAGGGCAAAAATAAATAATTCAAACAGACGACAGAAATTAGGACAATAATACCCCGTTTTTTTTTGTAAATATAAAATAGTCTCCCACTACCTACACCCGCTGTGCGTTTTCTATAAATTAACGTTTTCTAAATTAATATCTTTTGAAGACTTATGGTATACTACACTAAGTGGTTTCGAACCTTCACTTAATGAGCCCAAGTAGAGGTTCGAATCCCTCATGATGACAACAACTTGAGCTCGGATTCTGAAACTGACCAATTATCTTAGGGCATTTTCCCTATGCTGGCCAATCACTACCCTTTCCTGGAAAAAAGCAGACCAATCATCTTCATCCCAAGGAACAAGCTTGACCAATCAGTGCTGTTCCTTGAATAAATAAGCCAATCCCAATCACTCCTAGATTCAAAATGGGCAATTACCACATTTCCTATAAATAAAACTGACCAATTACCATGCTTCCTGGAACAAGATGACCAATCATAATGTCTCCTCAAACAAGTTGGCCAATTATCCTCCACCATTGAACAAATTGACCAATCACAATTAATCTCGTTTTTTTCAGAATTCAAGCTCAATTATATTTTGTTCCAATAATATATATTTTCTAAAAGTCTCCAGAAATATATCTACATGTTTGTGTGTGTTATGCATTCAATAATATATATAGTATAAATTGAAAGATATATATAATGTATATATAAATAAACAGTAAATATATATATGCAGTATACTGTATTATGTATTATTTATGTATATGTATATGTATATGTATAAGGTTATATATAATAAACATTGAGTATACAGTAAACATGGGTACTGTTATTAATTACCTGATTAATTTATAATTTGGCTTCAAGGTAAGTTCTGAGCTTAATTAGTTTCAGGAATTGGTAAAGAGAATAATGATGATGATGATGATGATGATGATGATGATGATGATGATGATGATGATGACGTCAACAATCCTAAAACCTGAAATTACCTGCAGGAAACATTCACTAAATCTGCTCAGGCACATCAGTTTAAGCTCCAGGTATAAAGTACAGGTAAGAGTAATTCATTCCCAGGTGGTGAGATTAATAACATCAGATAGGTGTTGTCATGATCTAATTGGAAACTTACCTAGAGTCTAATTAACCTAGCCGTCTCATTATACCTGTCTCATCAACCAACCCCGTAATCACGTCACTCACGAAGTCTTTAATGTGCCAAGTTAAATTAATGTCACCCTGAGTTAGTGTGTTCAGTACTGGTTAAGCTGGATATAGTCAATGGTATTCTCCCTGATCTTCACGCTATCACCCTATCCTCCCTGATGATTGTTCTGTCACCCCATTTTCCCTGATCCTATTTCCATCACCCTATCCTCCCTCATCCACACTGTCCCTTTATCCTCCCTGACACTCCTTTCATCACCCTATTTTCCCTAATCCTCCTTCCATCACCCCCCTCTCCCCTGTCCCCCACAACCTCCTCCTCCCTGACCCACAACCTCTCCTCCCTGACCCCACAGCCCTCCTCCCTGTCCCTCACAACCTCCTCCTCCTGACCCACAACCCCTCCTCCTGACCCCACACAGCCCTCCCTCCCTGACACCCCACACACACCTCCTCCCCGGACCCCCAACCCTCCTCCCTGACTCCCCCCAACCCTCCTCCCTGACCCCCACAAACTCCCCTGCCTCACTACATAAACAGTCCTCAACAACACAAGGGCGCCTGGTACACTGGAGACAATCAGCGTGTCATGTCCACATTGAAAGTTTCAGTGGAGCAAAGTGCCCACTCAGAAGTTGTTTGTGTTGGTAAATTGCAGGAGAAAGAGAGATAAAATTGCTTTTTCGTTCCCCCTCTGATAGATAGCTGTGTGTGTGTGTGTGTGTGTGTGTGTGTGTGTGTGTGTGTGTGTGCGTGTGTGTGTGTGTGTGTGTCTGTCTGTCACGTGGAAAGCTCAGTTCAATAATCCATAATAACATCAATTAAAAGGTCAAAGATGAACATTTTATTACCTCCTGCCTTTATTACTTCAACGTAAAAATAAAAACAATAAAAAATACAAGATTTAATTACCTTAATGATAACGACAGACACACAAACCAATTACAACTGTTTGATTCATAGAGTTCACTTAACTGCAATTAGCATCGTGGTTCAACTTCCTTCTCTCTCTCTCTCTCTCTCTCTCTCTCTCTCTCTCCACACACACACACACACTCTCATAATCACTTAACCTAACCTAACCTAACCTAACCTAACCTAACCTAACCTAACCGTAAGAGCAGCTTTATTATAGAGTTGTCACGGTTACAATGATAAAATATTTCCCCTTGTAGAAGTTTTTTGTAGTTGAATGTGGGTGTGCCAAGTCCGTAGACTTCATATTGATAGATTGAATTTGTATAGTAAACATATTGTTGTTGTTTAGGGAGAGAGAGAGAGAGAGAGAGAGAGAGAGAGAGAGAGAGAGAGAGAGAGAGAGAGAGTAGTATAAAAAAAAACACTCAAACACACCATTAAACAAGAAAATAAACGCAATAAAACACCATCACATGACACAAGAACCCAACAGAACATAACACCAATAAAACAGAAAAGAAAATACAACAAAGAGAGTACAGGTGACAGTGATAATTAATTACCTGAGACCTTACCTTTGGATCTATCAAAGTCGAATGTTTACCTAATCTAACTTAACCTTCCATGAATTACTAAATTATCCAAACCCTTCCAAATAATTACCCTCTTTTTTATTAATCTTAGGATTATTGAATATAATTGTACACCTTAATTACTGTATTGTTAGTTTGAATGGTATTAACCTCGTGTTCCCAGAATCACTACTAACTAATAGCCAAATTAGTAACCAGTCAATTATTCTATACACAACGTTTAGAATAATAAAATACCCAGTAAATGGAGAATTAAAATTGAAATCGAATGTTGCGTAAAATAAAATGTACTCTTGCAATGGAAACACGTTGGTGAAAATAATAGCACCTGCGCTTTTATACACGTAAGGTGATAAAACAGTATGTATATATATATATATATATATATATATATATATATATATATATATATATATATATATATATATATAGATAGATAGATAGATAGATATAGATATATAGAATATATATATACAGATATATCAGCTCACTATTTTACTCGATAATAATGAAGAAGAAAGAATTGGATCACATGGAGATTAGACACACCAGTTTATTTATACGTGACCTCCCTTTACCCTACCCAAACTTAATCTGCCTTAACATACCCTACCCTCCCCTGTCCTACCCAACCCCTACCCTACCCTACCCTACCCTACCACTCCCTGTCCTACCCAACCCTACCCTACCCTACCCTACCCTACCCTACCCCTACCCTCCTGTCCTACCCAACCCTACCCCAAACCTATCCTAAACTTAACACACCGACCCTCCATACACACATATAACATGAGAAGTGGTAAAAGATCAAGTAAAATAAACTGGGGGTGTCTAATCTTATCACATGTTATTCATTTCCAACAATCCCAACGATACTTTCACTCACAATTAACCCCCACAGCTGGCTACCACACAAAACTACGAATAACCACGAAATTCCACAAAACACAAAAAAAAATTGACGCTAACCAAAATCCATCTAGTTGCCTTTTCCCGCGCTCTCTCCACTCTAGGTAAAAATTTCACAGCTTCACCCTACACGTATATAGAGTTCCCAGGGCAACACACAGCAGTCTGGGTGTCTTAAACTCCTGCGAGAATTAACAGTCCGTCATCATATACACAAGAGACATTCGGGTGTGATGATGGGTGACGTTGGGTGAGTAGAGGATAACAGGGAGTGAAATC